GTTGCAACAAAGCTTCAACCTTATGGCCTGCAAAGCCTAAAATATATATTATCTGTCTCATTACAGAAAAAGCTTGCCAATCTGTTATATAAAACAGATTTAAGCCTATAAAAAATATTATTTCCTCAGGGAGATAATATTGTCTCAGGGGGCTAGAGCGGGTTTCATAGAAAAAGCAATGCGCAATGGATAAGTTAAAGCTCACGAAGAATAGGAAATGAAGAAATATCACAAAGGCAAGGATGAGAGAACATTGTATTTTAGGAAAAGAGGAATGCGTATAGCCCATCTAGTCTATAGCATATTGGGGATACGGCAAGTGAAAGAATGGCAGAGAATACTTTGACTGATCTTTCCTGCTTATGCTGCCAAGTTCATGTGAACACAAAGTAAAATCTACAATTTTAAATGGAATACTCCAAGACAAATATAATCAGAAAACACAATTAGTAAATGGTAAAATGGATATGGTTATCTTGTCAGGAGTTAGTCAGTCAGTCTGTCTGTCTATCTATCTATCTATCTATCTATTTATTTATTTATTTAGAGAGACCATGCATGTAGAGGGTGGGGGGACAGATTGAGAGGGAGATAAAGAATCTGATGGGGCTCAATCCCACAACCCTGAGATCATGACCTGAGCCAAAATTAAGAGTCAGATGCCCTTGTCAGGAGTTTATTTTTGTCAGGAGTTTATTTTTGATACTCTCTATGAAGGTATCATTTATCAAAAAAGTTAAGATATTAAGGTTTATGAATGAGTTAAGTTTTTTGAAATTAGAATAGATTCATTGTTTTCTTTTCAATGTTATTCTCACTGATTTGTATTCTGAAATGATTTTCTGAAGGAGAGAACAAAAGAGTGAGATTACACTCTTCACCCCCAAACGCAGAAGCTGCATAAAATCCGGAGCATACAAATGGATGTTATGTTGCACATCTGAATGCCAAGGAACTTATCATCTGTCACAGAAGGAAAAAAAGACTGAGCAAGTTACCTACAGGAAATGGGACACAGACAAAGTGGCTTAAGCACTTTAAGCACCAATACCACATATTGGATGGTATGATCCAATATGGGTTTTAGAAAGCCTAACTCCAATGACAGAAAGGGAAGATGGGACTGAAGTATGAGAGAAACAAGAGCGGAGAACAGTTAAGAATGGGAAACCTGGTGATCTGAAAGACAAGGTTTAAGGCACAAATACCAACAAAGGAAATGGGTTCAGTATGTATTAAGGAGAGACGAACTTAGCAGATAAGAGAGGGGTACAGGACAATGAAGTTGAGTTAGTAGCTTGGAAAACTATGAATGTAGCTGGTAAGGGAATGAGAGAATACATGAAGCAGAGGAAGAAGAAATCTTGGGGGAGAGAAATACCTATTCTAGATATTTCTTAGGTATTTTAGATAGGTTGATTTGAGGAGCCTTCATATATCCAAATGTATCCAGTGTATTCAGTTGGCAACTGAAAATATAGTGCTGAACCTTTGAAAGGAGGTCTGTTTATTTATTTAAAGAGGGAGAAGCAGGCTTGCCCAGTGCAAGGAGTCCACTGCAGGGCTCAATCCCCCAGGACCCTGGGATCATGACCTGAGCCAAAGGCAGACGTTTATCGACTGAGCCACCCAGGTGCCTCAAGAGGTTTGTTTAGAAGAAATGAGATTTGGAAGTCACGGTAGTTGAAATCATAGGAATGGATAAAATTTCTTCAGGCTTGGGTATACGTGTGAAGAGAACTAAATAAAGCGAAGACAGGACAGAAAAATGTTGTATTTAATAGGCAGATAGAGTAAGAACTAGTCAGGAGATAAACAGGAAAATAATAAAAGTAATGTTGCCAAGGTCAAGTGCATGGTTTCAAGAAAAGAACAGTTTTACCACACAGAATAAAGTCAAATTTTTCAGAAGTATGCACACATTACCTATAAAATAAAAAGCCACAAGCCATTAGAAGTTAAGGGTAAAGGCTCTGAATTCAGAGTGACCTGGAATCAATCCCAGTTCAGCTGTCTTGAGCAAGGTAAACTTTTCAGTTTTTAATCTATGATCTATGTAATAGTACTTATCTTCCTCACAGGATTGTGGTGAGGAATAAATGAGATAATGTAAAGTACTTATAACAGAGCCAGCACATACAGGAAGTAATTGGATGTTGGCAGCTATTACTAAAATATTTCTTACCAGGAAAGAAAAGAGCAAATCACCGCAAACTACCGCCTGAAGGCAACTTTGCTACTGGAGCCAAAAAGCCAACAAATGTTAATATCAAGGATACAAGACATGATCATACATTTATATAAAACTATAGTACATTTTAACTGGAACCACTGTGTGGAATTATATGGCAAGATAAAAATGAGAAAATATAACAAAACATAAATGGGTCTTCAGTTTGAGAAAAAAAACCACCAAAATTATCTATACAAGATTTCTAGTACTGCCCAAGAACCAACCAGTAGGTGGAGCCCTCTAGACCATGTTGGTAAACAAAACCTGTAGTAGAAAAGGATGACTCCTTAGGATGTCTAAATCTTACTGCTTAAAGATATTTAACTCCCTCTGCTTTAATCCCCAGATAATTTTATTAGTAGAAAGGTTTCTGACATATCTCAATACTGATATTAATATTTTGACTATTGACAGATATTCTAGAATATAAAATCTAGAATTCTCTTATATTTTATAAACTGAAACATTAGTAATTCTGGTTTTGAAACTGGATAGTGAAAACTGAGTGATCTGACTTTAGAGATGCCTTTGAGAAATCTGTCAGGCTAAGGCCCTATATCATAAAGCACCCTTGTGATGTCCAGCTTAAAACAGTCTAAGAAAGCCCAGGATTATAATACCTGTGGCCACTATAGTGATAAATATAATAAATCAGATCAAGTCTTTGTGATCACCCCTCAATATTTTGCCCTTAGATAAACTATTAGTTAACTCTCTAGACGTACACTTAAAAGAAAATCAGAATTCCCAGGTGATTAAAAAAGAAAAAGAAAAGCAACTAAAGTGAGGTAAAGATTAACTTTATTCTGTAAATAACAATGAACTATATCCACCTGTCTCTGCTTGCTTACTGGAAGCTACTAAAACAATATGAAAAGTAATGTAAAACAGTAAGTTATTCAGAATATTCAAGTAAAGAAACTGTCTACACCTATGTTTATGGACTGAAATAAACAGTAGCAACATCACCATTATAAGGTTTTAGATGACAGTGCCCACACCCACAGACATGCACTGCTTCAACAAGATTTGTTTGTTCAAGTTTTGCCCATAACAGAAGAATACAGATCCAACTATTATATTTTTATGGCATATCTACAGACAATTAACACACTAATTCACTGATCTCTCCCTATGCTGCCAACCTCACCTGCTCGGGGAATAAAATCTACAATTTTAATGCTACCCTCTAAGGAAAACTTAGTTTGTCAAATCACAAAGAAAGAACAAAACAAAAATCCCAGATACCCCATTGTATTCAAAAATCAAAAACAAGTGATTTTTGTCTACCCAATTAGAGTATAAGACCTGATTTCCACAATTAGAATTGAATATGCTACAACACAACTACAAATAAAATATTAACAAAGCCAGAGACTTTGTGGCATCTCGTCCTTAGGCAAACCTATTTAAGCATACTTGACTACACAGGTGCACATGCACACAAAAATTAGAAGTAAATTAGATGATTCTCTCTGATATGATAAAAACAGCTGTCATGTTCCCCTTTGACAGTAATAGCCCTTAAGTCAGGGAAATCAAAATACTAAGCTAGGCACAAAAATCTTTAATTCCTTACTTCTCCATTCAGGGATACTTAATATACAATTTTGGCTACTTTGTATGAGAGAGGTGACTCAATGAACGCAACGAATCTGTGCCTGATGAACCAATGAGTGAATCATATATAAAATCTGTATCACCAAAAGATCCAGATTATAAATCGTGTGGCTCCAGTGTATGTATTCTGAACACCTTATGACCTGCTAATGTTGGTTAAATGAGGGAGATCAGAAAATTTAGCAATCTGTTCTATAAAGTGCAGTCTTATTCCGTACAGAAAGTGGCTTCGTTCAGATTTTTGATTCTAAGTTTGAATTCCTGGGAAATATTTTACAACAAAGCCAACTTCAAAGGAATTTGTTCAATTTCTTTCAATACCCTAAGAAATAATAATAAAAAAAAAACAACACAAAAAATGGATTATGAAATTCTATTATCTTATGGATGGTGTGTTTTACATATACCAGTTTTAATAAAGAGAAGTAAGGTTCAGAAGGACTGTTATTTCTCTAGGTATACAGGGCTTATGGGTAGCACTCAGAGTACAGCATTCCTCTGGAAATAACCAAAATATTAATATGGAAAAGCTACACACTGCTTCTCTTATTATCAATACTAAGAATCCGAAAGCCCACTGGAATCCCAGCAATTCGGCAAGTCTTCGCACATTGTCAAAGAGTTATTCAATGTCTGGAACCTTACTTATTTGACTACAGCATCCCAATGCCTTTTACTAAAATTCCCTCTGAGGCTCAACTTTTTGGAGCCAGATTCTCAGCGGCTCCATCAGCGCAAAGGGAGGGTCAAATACAGAGCTACAACCCTGGGCATCAAGCCCAAACTCAACGTAGGGTGTGTCCGGGTTGTTGTGGAGCCCGTTCCACTGCCCCTTCGTGGGAAAGGCTCATGCTTCCCAGAGGTGATGCCCTCCATGGCTCTTACCCCGCGTGACAGCGCAATTGGAGGGAGTCTTGCAGGAGGCGGCAAGAGCGACGCCCGCCCCTTTTTCTAGCTTTCCCTGGGAGGCCCCCCTCGACCAGGGCCTCCACTCTATGACCACCAGCTCGACGCCCGTTAGGTGGTGAGGGCAGAGGGGCTCCCGGCCTACTCTAAGCCGTCGCAGTTTAGACAGTGAAGAGGGTTCCCCGCAAGGGCCGAAAGGGAGGAGCCAGAAGGAGCCCGGCCCTTCCCCCAGCGGGCTTACCCTCCACCGCCTCCTACACGTTGCAGCCGCCCCGCTTCCTTGCGGAGGAGACCGAAGCACTGCGTCCAGCAGCAGTTCCCCATCGCATGCCGCCCAGGCGCCGCTTCTCCTCCTCCTCCCTCTCAAAGCCCACACTCAGGCCCGGCAGCCGCATCCGCGCGGCACGAGCCGAATGAGGCTTCGGGGACCAAGGGCGGGCCAGCAGGAGCGCGACGGCGTGAGGGGCTGAGGTGACAGGAGGGACAGGCACTCGGAACAAAGGCAGCGGTTACTCCACGGGCCACCGAGTCGCTGCCGCTTGAGGGAGGAGTGTGAGGCTGCGGAATTTGGACTCCCTCGCCGTCCTCATGGCCCCTCGCTCGCCTCGGGACCCCAATCTAGCTAAAGTGACCGCCTCCAGCCCCTGAAAGAAGCCAGTCCGCGCGCGTCGCGCGCCCAGACCCCGCCCTCCCGTGCGCCCGGGCCGACGCCTCGCGGCAGGCGCTGCCACACCCCCGGCCTCTCCCGGGCCCCAATAGGGCGCGCTCCCTTTGCGGCCCCGCCTCCTCCGGCCACTGGTTCTTACGTCACTTCCACAAGCTCCTCAGAATCAGTTCTACCTTGCGGTTAGTCCAATTCCTGGTTGCATTTGTTTCGTTGGACCTTGACCGGACTAGCAACCTCCTTTTCTCCTAGCATTTCCCGCCACTGGCTCCCGACTATTTCCGTGTGTCGCAACGGTCAAGGCTCAAGCTTCGAACTTTGTACCAAAGCCTTGTGAGCGGCTTACTTAGAGCCCAAGGCCGGGAGTCATCGGGTATGAGAAGGGGCACTTATTTGTGTAGTGTGTGCTTAGGTTTTGTTAATACCGCACCGTAAGTGTCAAGGGACTGATTGACGTTTTGAACGCACCCCCACATTTTTCTCTTCCGGTCTCTACTTTGCGTTTCTATCTCTGTATTGTCAGTATTGTAAAGAAACTTTTTAATGGCGGCCTACTGGCATCTTTTTTTGTTTTGTTTTGTTTAAAATCAAACCTTCGAATAATTTCGGATAGGTGGTTGTAGTCCAGAGGAAGTAAAAGGCTAGAGTTTTTCAGCGACACCAGCCTTTCCGATCCAAGCGTGCTGCAGGGAACTGTAGTAGATGGGAAGAGATAGCTACTCAGACGCGGCTTGGTTTACATACTCAAGTGCTCCTGTAAAGCTCGATTTTTGTAGTTGGCCTTAAAATCGAGTATAAGGGGGAACAATCGGATATAAGGGGTGGCTTAATAAGCGCCTAGTCCTTTGGATAAAATGCTTTTTAAAAAAAAAAACTGTGTCTTTTTATAACCAGTTGAAATTTAACCTAGGACAGTTGTTACATTTTAGAAAATTGTTATTCATGAAAAAATGTTCTTGAGCTAGTCATTTTCTTGTTTCCTGAAATCTAGGCCCAACTGGATTTCAGTCTTAGCACTGCTACAAAAATAATTTTGACCTTATTTGGGTCTTAGTCGTTTTTGGAACCAAGTGCATAAGGATGTTTAGCCCGGTAGTCTGCAATCAATGGATGTTAGTGAAATGACTGAATAACTTCATAAATAGCAGCTATATTTTCTATCCCTTCTTCAGCCCCTAAAGTCAAGCAAATATATTCTGAAATAATCTTTAAAATTCAACTATAAAGCTATAAAGAAAGCTGTGGAATACTATTCAACAACAAAAAGCACATACTATTGGTATAACACACATAGTAAATAAATGTGCCGGAAATTATATAGAATTGAAAAGCCAGTCTGAAAAGCTTTCACATTGTATAATTCCATTTATGTAACATTCCAGAAATGACAAAATTATGCAAACAGTGAGTAGATTACATGATTGCCAGGGGTCAGAGAGTAAGGAGTGGAATCTTGTGATGGAAAACATGTATCTGGGTTGTGTCAAAGTCAGTATCTTCTTTGTGATATTACATTACAGTTTTGCAAGATGTTACCATTGGGGAAAACTGGGTAAAGGGTATATGTGGTGATTTCTCTATTATTTTTCACAATTGCATGGGATACCACAATCATGGACACTTGATGGATACTTTTTGCTATAGGCATTCTTATAAACCTCTGTTAAAAGTAGATCTATGTGAATGATCCTCAGAATCAGTACAAATGATTAAAACATTTAAAATTGACTTAATTAGTAAAAAAACTGACTTCACTAATCAAAGCAATGCAAATTAAAACACAAAGAGAAGTCATTGTTCACTTGTCAGGTCAACAAAAATTTACAAATAAAATGTTCAGTTTTTGCAAGGGGACAATGAAATATTCTGAACTGGGGCTAGTGAAACTCATTCTGAAAAATCATTTGGAAATAACTTGTCAAGAGCCAGAAACAAACTTAATGCTCAATAATTTGAAAGATGGTTAAATTTGCTGGTATGGTCTTATAATATTACATAACCATCTGAAATATATTTTGGAAAAACTCTAATAGCCTGGCAAAATGCTGCTGAATAATGTTGAAAATCAGGATAGAAAGTTATATATTGTGTGTTCCAAATCATGTTTAAAACAAAGCATATACATTCTTAAATACACATATACTTTCTTTCTTAAATATATTCCTAGGGGAAAATAAAAGTTAGTTGGTAAATAACAATACTAATAATATTATATCAAGAATGTGGATTTGGGGGGTGCCTGTGTGGCTCAGGGGGTTAAGCCTCTGCCTTCAGCTCAGGTAATGATCTCAGGGTCCTGGGATGGAGCCCCGCATTGGGCTCTGCTCAGCAGGGAGCCTGCCTCCCTCCCTCTCTCTGCCTGCCTCTCTGCCTACTTGTGATTTCTGTCTGTCAAATAAATAAATAAAATCTTAAAAAAAAAAAAAGAATGTGGATTTGGGGAGATTCTTTTTTTGTATTGTCTCAATTTTTTTTAAATGATCAGAAAAAAAATTTTTTTTAATCTGGCCTATCAGCAGGAAAGATTAATTGATAGCCAGCTTAATTAAATTTTATAACAAATGTAGACATTTAGAAAGTGATTAGGATATAAATGTGGGTGGATTCTAATAAATTGAGTTGAGCTACTTAACATTTTTCTGGAAATAAATTATGAAGCTAATATAGGCTGTTTCTGAAATTTATTATGCAATTTTTTTTTTTTTTTACCAAGTTTGACATCAAGAATCTTATCTTCACTGCAATGTAGCTTTAAAAGATTGTAAACATTCAGTTGAATGATCTGCTATTAGTTAAGCAGAATTAGCAGGGAGAAACCCTATAAGTGGAAGGGATGTTTGTAAAGCAGATGAGAAAGAGGACCTCTAGAGGAATTTCGTGATTTTCCCAGAGTCACACACTGAATCAAAGGTATAAGATGAAGAAAACACAGGTCTCCGGACAACAAGGCTTGTTGTGCTTCTGCCATGGCCCAGTATTGTGTCACCAATCCCACATTTGGACATAGTTATGAAATCATTAAAGACAATAGTCAAGTATATTCCGGAAGGATATATTCATGGCTAGCGCGTTCATATCTATGGCAGTTTGCCAGGTAGACTATTCAATTTGCCAGTAGGAGACACAGAGCTTATCTACAGTGATGGCTACTTAATAATCAGCTTGCTAGAGACCCTACCTACCCACCTTCCCGGTAGCAGGACCTTTTCCTTCCCCATGCCTTGCAAAATTCCTTTCCCTTTAGGGATTTATTCTGAAGTCAAATGAAGAGTTTTTCTCATGAATACTCTGAAGTCAGTCAGCATGCAATCTTTACCTCTACTTGTCTTCTGGATTATGTGGTTCCAAATATGAATCTCTTTTTGCTCAGAATTCTTCTGTTGGCTACTAATCACTTTTTGTTGTCTTGAGATCCGTTGCTACAATCATGTTTTTTCTCAGGATTAGGAGGTTCTTCAAAGGGAAGAATTCTGTGCTCTCCATTACCACATTGGTCCAAGAATGGACATGAATTCATTCTTTTTTTTTTAAATGCTTTGATTTTTTAAAAATATTTTATTTATATATTTGACAGAGATCACAAGTAGGCAGAGAGGCAGGCAGAAGGTGGGGGGGGGGAGCAGGCTCCCCACTAAGCAGGGAGCCTGATGTGGGGCTCAATCCCAGGACCCTGGGATCATGACTGAGCCAAAGGCAGGGGCTTTAACCCAATGAGCCACCCAGGGGCCCCTAAATTCTTTCTTTTAATTCGTGGAGCAGGATACTAGATACAATGGCTATAACATATATAGATAATGAGATAATAAAATTTACCTGTTGAGTTTGTTGTCAGGATAAATGATTATTTAATCAAAAGCTTAGCATAATATTAAAAACCATTGCTTAGTATAATATGATTATACTATAATTTCCATAATGTACTGTATATACCATACTAGAATTACCTATAATACCCTAAGTATAATATAAATATTAGCTGTTTTTTTTATTGTCCTCAGATTGAAGGAGATGTCATCAATAAGTTATTTTTTGTAGCTGTATCTCTAGCTTCCTATGAAAAACATGAAGTTTTAAAAAATTCTATATCTTCGACATGCACTCAGGCATACTCTACACCACTTTATGAAGTCAGGTTCTAAGAAAGTGTGGCCTACAGGGAGGAAAGAATTCTCCATCTCTCAGGCATTGTCTGTCCCATGATCTGCCTCTTTTCAGGATGATTGAATGTAAGATTATTCACTGATTTATGGGGAGACCTCACCCCCTGCCAACTAGAAGTATTGGCCTTGGAAACACAAATAGAACATTCTCTTCATACTATAATAATCCAGTATCATTATGGTTCCTAACGTCTTATATATTAAGTCTTAAGTAATATGTGAAAGAACTATAGTCCAGTCCAGGTTTGACTTGATCCAGAATTGCCTAGTTCTTTTGTACATATTTATGTACATTATAAAGTGAAACTTTAGGTGCACTAAGGCTGGCTGGCTGCAGTAACTAAGTGGTAAACCATGGCTCAACGACAAACATAATTCCGTAAGAATAACACTTTGCAAGCACATCATAGCTAAATTTCATATGTAAAAACCAAATATTTCTCCAAAAAAAAAAAAAAAAAGTCCCAAGTGAACTAACTATGCCTATAATGCAAACCTTTGTGTTGTTATGCAGAGTGGTTTAGCTCTTTAAAAATTGCTGCTCTCAAATGCCTTTATTTCTGCAATGGTCTTTTACTTTACATTTGAATAACTAAATAGCTCAATGGAACATTTAAGTGATTTTTCCAAGAACAAAGATATGCAAAGATGTGCTTAAAGAGAAAAGGGAAAGTCAAGAGGAAATTACTTAATTTCTTGGCTGAATCACCAGTGCCCCATTTCTTCTGACTTTAGGGTATGTGATGAGCTTCATTAGCTGGTCGTGTCTCTGAGTACAATGCACATTAAGTGATTTGCTTCCCTTTTTGCTCACCGTACATTTACCTTTCACAAACAGAAGAACTAATAAGAATAGTTATATAATTCATACAGAGTTCTTCCACTGAGCAGAATTTGTTCCAGATCTCTTTTGCCTGGTCAGAAACTGAGCTAGTAATTTGAACAAGGAACATTGGAAGTTAATTAAATAGATAAATGGTGGTTAGTGCTAGAAGGAAACAGGTGTAACTACTTCTAGGAGCAGCCATCAACCTGGGACTGAGTAAAAGTAAACAGAAGAGGATTTTAGACATTTAGAGGACAGCCCTACAAGGTACATATTCAGACCTCTGAAAAGACTGTGGATGCCATAGAAATTGCTCTGCCATTATGGTCATGGAAAAGCTAGATGGAAGTTATCTGCCTGTGAGCCCACCTCTGTGGACCTGGGGGCACTTACCACTGGAGCAGGAGGGCTGGGGCCACTGTGGTAAATACTGCCAGGACTCCTTGCTGCTGATCCATTTGCCATCATATGGAGAACAAAGTAGCAAAAAAAGAATTAAGTTGCTTTTTCAAATCTTGTACTGTCCCTTCAGTACCCCCATTGGAAGATCGCAACATAGCACCTGCTGGCAAAAGAGAAAAGTATTTTGCTGAGTCCAGTTCTAGCCTTGGAAAGTAGGGCTAGGAAGGGTAGGAGACAGGAAGCAAATTTGTTATTATTGTTGTGATCTGAGTTAGAAAAAAAAATACTCTTTTTCTGTTAAGGAATTGGGATTTACAATAATCTAAGTCCAATTAACATAAGAAATTAACATAAGAAGTGGTTTTTAGGTATTGATACTTTAGATTTGTTGTAAAGCAAAAACATTCACTGGAGGAGAGAAGGGGGCACACATACTTTCCATCTAGCTTGCACAGGATTTCTATAGATAAAAAACAGCACTGAAAATGAGCCTGCAATCACATATTACAAACAAACTACCATGGTACAAAGCAGACGCATGGAATAGCAGAGAAAAAGAAAAAAAAAAAAACATGGGTTTTATAGACCAAATATAAACAAGCAGTCAGACACTATAAAATAAGCATGTTTAAGATAGTTAATGTCATAAAAAGGAAAACAAGGAAATATGAAAGAAAAGTTAATTAAAATAAAGCAACTAATAGAAATAGGAAAAAAAAAAGACACTGAAATTAAACATTAATGATTCCTGCTTCCAATTAAAATATAGGACGTGAAAGGCACATGGTAACAAAAACATTAACAAAATTAAAATCATTTTTTATGAGATCAGCAAAGTACAATAAACAGAAGAATGCCTAAATGAACTAATACTCAGGAAGAAATGAGATATTCATAAATGAACAAATTCATACTTGGGAGTAGGCAGCTAATCAAAATATGGGCAGTTGAAGAATTGGGCCACCAAAGATGGAGATCAGGAAAAAACAACTAAGCTTTAGACAGCAGTATGGGTTTGTGGGAGACACTGAAATCTGGAGGTAGACTATAGCAGATTGAGTTTTCAAAATGGCCTCAACCATATATTCCATCCTACATTCTCTTTTCTACAATGTGACATTGACATCCTCCCATCAAGTAGTAGTGTCCATGATCCCTCTTGAATCTGGTCAGGTTTCAACAATGGTGGAAACAATTGTGACTTTTGAGGCTGAATCATAAAGGTGATACAGTTCTCTCTGACCTTCTTGGGACACATGATTTTGCAACCTTGAGTGCAATGTAAGGAGTCCATGTGTGATATGATGTGTGGGGATGGTCTGGTCATCCCAAGTGGAGTTCCCAGGCAATAGTTGATACCAACCAGCAGGCCTGTAATTAGACCATCTCAAGATAATTCTTGTTCCTTGCCATTGAGTTACCTCCAGCCAGGTCCACATAATAATTTTTATTTTTTTAAATTTCAAGTAGGCTCCATACCCACTGCGGAGCTCAACATGGGGCTAGAACTTCCGGTCCTGAAATAAAGACCTGAGCAGAGATCAAGAATCAGACACTTAACTGACTGAGCCACCCAGGCACCCCCATAATAAACTATTTTTATCTCAAATATTACTTTTTTTTTAAGACTTTATTTATTTGAGAGAGAGAAAGAGCAGATTGGGGGGAGAGGCAGAGGGAGAGAGACAGGCAGACTCCCTGATGAGCAGGGAGTCAGACGCAGGGCTCAATCCCAGGACCCTAGGATCATGACCTATGCTGAAGGCAGTTGGTTAACTGACTGAGCCAGCCAGGCACCGCTCAAGTATTATCATTTTGTTTCAACTGAAATATCTTCATTTCAAATGTTTAAACTGTTAAATTTAGTGTAATAGATAACCAGAATAAGCTCCAGATTTGAAAATAAATTATTTTGAAAATTCTCTCTCCACATGCCACTCACATCCAGATATTGCCAAGAAAGCTGCATTGGAGGAAAGGCTGGACAACCAGAATAAACTGTACATTTCTCTGCATCCTTGTAATGTTTGGATTATGAATCCTGCTGGAGTTGAATCTGAAGATGAGCCAAAATTACCTGAAAGTAACCTGACCTACTCCGAGCTCAAATACTTAAAAAAAAAAAAATTATCATCAAAGACTAATAACAGTTGAGTTTAAGAATATATATATGGCTTGACTGTCTGCAACATGACTCTTGGAAGGATCTGAATTATCATTCTTACCCTACCTGAGGAAAGGGCTTACGCTCTGGGAAGAATCAAAACAGAACAAAAATGATGCTTTAGCTTCACTGTTGTTTTACATATAATCTCTATAAATCAGTTTTTTAACAGGCATGAAAATAAAAATGGAACCCATAATCAAGAAAAAGACAACAATCAAAGTAGACCTAGAGAAGATAACCCGTTTATTAGACTTTATAGAGAACTTTAGTACAACCACTATAAATACTGAAAGCGTATATCAGAAAATATGGATGTTATAGGTTAAATATGTGGTATTTCAGGAAAGAAGCAGAAACAGCAGGAAGAAGCAAACAAATTTTAGAACTTAAAATTTTTTTGAAAAATGCAATATCAGAAATAAAAAATTATCAGTGCCTGGGTGGCTCAGTCGATTAAGCATCTGCCTTCGGCTTAGGTCGTAGTCCCAGAGTCCTGGGATCAAGCCCCACATGGGGCTCCTTGCTCAGCTGGGAGCCTACTTCTCCCCTGCCTCAGTTCCCCCTGCTTGTGCTTGCTCTCTGTCTCTCTTGCTCACTCTCACTGTCAAATAAATAAAAATCTTAAAAAAAAATTATCAGTTGGGTTTAACAGCGGGTTTGATAGAAGAAGTGGTTATCGAATTTGAAAACAGTTCAGTTGAAATTAATCCAGAGAGAAAAAGGGTTGAAAAAAAACATCAGCATCAACAGCTTATGAGATAATATCAAGTGGTCCAACATACTTGTGTGCTTTAAGTTCCAAAAGGGGTAGAAAGAGAGAATTGGATAGAGAAAGTATTTGAAGAACAAATAATGGCAAAAGAAAAAAAAATTATTTATTTTGACAAAAAGCAAAACAAAATAAAAACCAAACATGGACTCCTAAATCTCAATAAATCCTCAAAGTGAAAAATAAGAATTTACACCTAGGCATATCATAGTAAAATTGTGGAAAACAAAAGATAAAGAGCAAATCTCCAAAAAAAAAAAAAAAATCTTGGGGAAAAAGAATACATTATAGGGAACAACAATAAGAACTCCGCCTGACCTCCCCTTAGAATAAATGCAAGCCAAAGGAATGATATTTTTAAAAGACAGAAAGAAAAAGAGAAAGAGAAAGAAAACAATTGTCAACATAAAACATTAAGGGAAAATAACTTTCAGAAATGAAGGCAAAATAAGGATATTTTCTGATAAATACTGAGAGAATTCAATATAAGAGATTTCTACTACAAAAAAAAAAAGTGCTAAAGGGGTTCATTCCCATGGTAGGGTTTACTCTACAAGTGCTGGGCCTTGCAGATTTGTTCTTTTTCCTTCTGGACAAGAAGCCTTTGCCACAGCCATGTTACGACAGATCATTGGTCAAGCCAAGGAACGTCTGAGCTTGATCCCCCTTTTAGTATTTATTGGGGCAGGAGGTACTAAAGCAGTGCTGTAGTCTTGTGACTGGCATTGTTCAATCCAGACGTTAGTCGGGATAGGAAGAATAACCCAGAACTCTGGAACAAACTGCATCCCAGTGATCAACACAAGTTCTGCTCAGTGAATGTAGGTTACAGAAAACTGAAGAAAGAAGGTCCAGATTTCTCAATGAAACGTTTCTGTATAAAGCTGCTTAGACTGAAGATATTCCAGAAGGCATCCACACAGTTTTCCACTTACCCAGAAAATATTTCCCCTTTAAATGCATGAAATCATGTTGGTGTATTGTGTTGGGATTTACACTGAATAATAAATATCTGAAACTTGATATGGGTCACTATTTCATGCTGAAAATCTGCTCTGAACTTTATAACAAGGGTATAGGAAATAAACCTAGAATTTAAGGGGAAAATGCTAGAAGAAGCTCATCAGGCTGCATGAAAATGAAACCAAATTGATGCTCATATTTACAAAAAAGAATGGCGAGGGCTGGAAATATAGATAAATATAAATACTATTTTATTTTAATTTTTAAAAGGATGGTTGACCTTATAAAACAAAAATTAAAAAATAACAATGTATTATAGGAGTTGTAGCATAAGAAGTGAAATATATAACAGTAACACAAAGGAAGGGAGAAGTTAAATGGAAATGTGTAGTTGTAAGATTCTTCCCTTAATGGAAACATGGTTTAATATAATTCCAGGATAGTCTATGGTTAATGAAGGATGCATATAATAATCTATAAAGCAGGATTTCTTAATCTGAGCTTTATTATCATGTTGGGCCAGATAATCTTTGTCCCGGAGGCCTATCCTATCCATTTTAAGATATTTAGCAGCATCCCTAGCCTCTACTTACTAGATCATTTGTACCCATTATTCCAAATGTGATAACCAAAATTTATTCTAATGTTGCCAAATGTCCTTTGGGAATAATTATCTTCCCCTGTTGAAAACCACTGCCCTAGAGCAATCACTAAAAGACACAGTAAAGGATACACACGCACATAAACACACCCCCAAAGAGTTATAGCTATACATCCAATAGAAGAGGTAAAAGGGAATATTAAAAGCAAGGAAACATGATAAAGAACTCAATCGAAAAGAGTGAGTAAAAGAAAAAGAAGGAAGAACTGATAGGACAAATGAAAAACAAATTACAAATGGTAGCCTTAAACCAACTCTATAAATAATGACTTTAAATGTAAATGGGCTAAGCACACCAATTAAAAACTAGGGAGGGTTTTTTTTTTTTTCAGAGTTTATTAAAAAAAAAAAGGTCTCCATGTGTTGTTCACGTGATGTACTTTTAATGTGAAAACATAGATTAAAAGGAGGAATGAAGAAAGATATAACCATGCAAACACTATAATCATAGAGCTGTTGTGATTATATTAATATCAGACAAATTAGACATTAATATAAAGAACATGACTAGTGATAAAGAGGTGTTGGGAAAATGAAAAATTTTCATTCTACCCTTCTAGGTTCTGTGACTGGTCCAACAATTAATATGACAAAAGACACAGAAAAACAAGAGAAACACAAATTTAATAACCTATGTATGGGAGCCCCCAAAAGATATGAAACTCAAAAGGCAGCCAGACAATTGAGGTTTCTGTCACATCCTATGTTAAGGAAAAGTGCAGAGGTCTGGGGCTACCAAGGGGAGGAAGGCCATTCATAGGAAGCGGGGAGGGGGCGGTGTTTGGGAAACCAAGCATGCCCTGTTGTGCACGCCAATTTCTTTGGTAAAAAATTATCTCTGGCAATAGTTCTTTTTCTGGTACAAAAATTGCAAAATTTCACCATAAATAGGGAAATTTTTCTTTCTTTTATACAGGTAAGAGGGAAGTAAAGAGCTTTTCCTGAGGCCACTGGGCACTGATTGCCTTAGTTTAAAATAATCCCCATGCCCAAGTGGCATATATTGGGGGGACTTTCTGAGCCTCTTCGGAGGGATGTTTCATTATGATGAGAAGATGAATTCATTAAGAAGGCATAATAATCCTAACTTTGTATATATCTAATAATTGAATCTGAGACTCCAGCCACCATAAAGAGACCATTTGGAGGAGAACTGAAATGCTCTAGCTGACAGATCCTGCTAAGCCTCCAGCTGGCAGCCAGGACAAACGGCCAGGGATATAAGTGAGATCATTTAGACATTCTAGTTGTCTGACATCTTAGCTAGTACCATATGAAACACAAGAAACATCCTATTGCCTCACAGTATAGTGAGAAATAAATTGCTTTAAGGCATTAATTTTGTGGATGTTTTTTATTGCAGCAATAGATTATAGAAATACTACCATCTGAAAAATCAAGAACTAGCAATAAAACCATATTATTTAGTGATATGAAAATCATAATTATGGAATTGGTAAAAAAAATTTAAAGTGTTTGCCTCCTTGGTAATTTAAACTATTTGCATGTATTACTTTGATACAAATAAATATTTTTAAGAAAAAAAAACTTATGAACTAGTAAAAAATTCTGAGGAAGTTGCCCAAGATTTAGTACATAAAAATGAAACTATGAAAGAGAAGTTAGTAGACTGGGATATGGAATGAGCAAGTATGATAGGAGTTCTAGAAGGAGAAGCAAGAAAGAATAGTGTTTGGAAATACTCAAGGAAATAATATCTAAAGTAATATCAATAGTTGATATGAATCTTCAGATCTATAAAAGGCAATTCCTCAGGAAAATTTTAAAAAATTCATATATGGACACATCGTATCAAAACTAAAAATCATCTATCCAAGTCATAAAGATCTTCAAAAGAACCCAGCAAAGAAACATTTTATATTTAATGGGAACCATGACTCTCAGCAGACTACTCAACACCATTAATAAAAACCAGAAGATCATGGAATAATGCATTCGAAGTGCTGAGAGGAAATAAACCAATAACCAACTAAAATGTTGTTCAGCAGTGAGAGCAAAGTAAATGTCTTCTCTGCTATCTAGAAAGCAATACAACTATGGCATTTACTGTTAAGATACTGGGATGCTTTCATACTGGTTGGTAAATAGCTATTTCCCTGAGGGCTTTAGGTATCCCTTAAGACACTCCCTCTCCTCTCTCTAAAATCCAGCCATTAGAAGGTTAATTGGCACGTAAAGAGGCTTCCCACACCTTGTTCCATCCCTGTAACTGGTGTCTATCCTGATTGGTAGGACCCTGCCTCTGCCAAATTCTACATCCTATGTACTACCATTGCACGTTCGGAGAACCCCCGAAGAACTGACCTATTCCTCACCTGAGCCTATCACTTGGCACTGGTGGTGGTGGGGGGTAGTCCTTGTGGGTCACTGAAAGTGTGTGTAGGCCTGCAAGCCAGGTTGCTGTGGCGGCCATGTGCTAGCTCTCTTTATGCAATGTTCTCCAGCTAAAGTGGGCCTCTATTCTATTGTAGCAGCACTTGTACCTTGAGGGGCAAATGTCCAGCACCATTCTGGCTCTGTCCCCAGTGCTGTGGCCATCTACTGCAGGCTGGTACTCCTTTGGATTCACCTTTGAATGGCCATTTAAAGGAATTGTAATCTCCTTAGGACTTTGACTCTGAGAAGCCATGAAGAAACAGAGAAATCAGTTAACAGCCAGTAACAAAGGCCACTTTTGCCCCTGGCAGGTGCTACAAGTTCTTCCAGCACAGGAGACATTCTGTGACAGACATGAGGCCGTGGAGGATGGGCAGACCCGTATGGGTGGTTTGGAGCTAGAGGATGCCCTTTTTATTACCATACTGATTTTCAGTTTTATTTGTTAAAGCCTGTTTTATACCCTCCCTCACAGGCACACATTTGTCTTTTAAATTTTTGTTTATTTTTTTATTATTACTATTTTTTATTAACATATAACATATTTGCTTCAGGGGTACGGGTCTTTGAATCATCAGTCTTATACAATTCACAGCAGTCACCATAGCACATACCTTCCCCAATGTCCATAACCCAGCCACCCTATCTCTCCACTACCAGCCCCCCCACCCCCAGCAACCCTCAGTTTGTTTCCTGAGATTAAGAGTCTCTTATGGTTTGTCTCCCTCCCCAGTCCCATCTTGTTTCATTTTTCCCTCACTTCCCCTCACGAACCCCCGCCTTGCCTCTCAAATTCCTCATATCAGAGAGATCACATTTGTCTTTATAATAAAAATCAGAACCAAATTATGTACTGCTTGCTCTGTGCCAGGCATCACTGTAAATATATATTAGTGCATTTGGATAATAGAATTATCACTATCACTCTCATTTTACAAATGGCTAAAACATAAAGAAGATAATAAAAACTTGGGTTGAAGAGTTGGGATTTGAAAGTCTAGATACAGAGCCAGCTGCAATCATTGCAATGTTATGCTCTTTTTCTGTGTTGTAGGATTAGGTTCAATCTAATTAAGTATGATATTTCAGTAAGAGATAATAGAGATAGGAACTATGAAAAGATCTTAGTAATCTAAGACTTCAGAAAAAAATCTGATGGAGGCCAGTTTTTTTTTTTTTAGATTTTATTTATTTATTTGACAGAGAGAGAGATCACAATTAGGCAGAGCAGAAGGCAGCGAGAGAGGGGGAAGCAGGTTCCCTGCTGAGCAGAGAGCCTGATTTGGGGCTTGATTCCAGGATACTGAGATCATGACCTGAGCTGAAGGCAGAGGCTTAACCTACCGACCACCCAAGCGCCCCGGGAGGCCAATATTTTAACAATTAAAATTATTAAAAGACCTCTCTGGCATTGAGATTACAAGTCTTTTTCAATTTTGTGGGGAATTTATTATAAAAGTTTGATGTAGTTTCCTATATCAAGTTATGATGAAGAGACAAGTGTCATTTAAGTAGGGACACCTATGTAAATTAAAAGATTGCAATAGCAACTTACAAAATTCAGTAAATGGCTTGGAAATTACTAGAATGATTTAATGAATGATGCACCTTGCAACTTCTATTACTCACAAGCAGTTTTACAATATAGTTCATTTGGGGAAAAAGTGAAGTACATTTTTAATCTGTGAATCCATATATTGATTTCTATATTAATTTAGATAATTTCAATTGTAAAATATTTTTAATAGCATCTTGGAATTTCTCGAGAAAAGGAGAGGGAGCCATCAGTGCCGGGGTGCACCTTCTGAGATTTGATTTAATCAGTCTAGTCTCAGTACTCAGCTTGAGTATTTATTAAAAAGCTCCCCAGTAACACTAATGTGGTGCCAAGGAGGAGAACCACTCTTCAACAGCAGGGCTTGGCAAATACCCACTGCAACTGCCTCTTTTTATAAATAAAATTTTATTG